CCGGCTTGGGAGTCGCGGGCCTGAGCCCGGAGGCTCGAGGACCCTACGCACTGGGGGGCAAGGCTGACAAAGTTGGGAGCAGGCAGTGTCCCCGCGGCCCCGGGCAGACCGGGCAGGTGACCACATCGCCCCATCTTTCGCTTTCTACTTCTCTGATGGGATCTCCAACTTGGCACGGAGGCCTGAAGCCGATACCCCCAAATCATGCCCTATGGCCCCACTCCAGACTCAGAAAAGGAGCTGATGATCATTTTGTCAACAAACATTATTTTGACAGTTACAAGTGGATGGTGATTTTCGAACCTTTTCAAATGGATTTTTCTCCAAATTTGCATTTTTTTTTTTTCCTCCAAGAGAAAGACAGTGTGCTTTTAAAGAGAAATTGAATTCAGTACTGGGGGTGGGGGGAAGAGGGGGGGAACAGGTTCATGGGGCAACTTAGTGACAATCATTGCTATTTTCTGGTTCTCAGGATGTTAATTCTAAATGGTACTTGCCTTGATAAAGAATGATTTCAGTGGAGAAGTAATTAGTTTACAAAGGAGAGTTCTCAGCATGTGGATATAGGTTAAACTGAGTCCTCATGGTGTTTTACAGGTTAGCGTATTTCTCTGAGCTGTGGGACTTCTAGAAATATGTGCGGTAGCTGATGACACCCAGTTGCCTGAGCATAACTGTACACCTTGCACATGCTGCTGTTTGCACGAATGGAACGATTTCTTTTCGCAAGCAACTGACTGCTGTAAACATTGGGGGTTTTCTTATTTTCATGTTTAAAAGCATCAAGGAGTCAAAGTAAACAGTCCTTGAATATCTTCCTATGTAAGAGCCATAGATCATAGGAATAATTCATTCATTTAACAAATTTCTACACCATATGCTAGGCCTCTTCTAGCCAGGAAGAAGACAGCATTGAGTAAAACAGACCAAAATCCATGCTGAATTAATCAAACCTGACCGTTTTAACTAGGACTGTAAAAGGAAAAAACTTTTTTTTTTTCCTATAGATTTAATGGATGGGGGAAAGGTCTCTTCAAGTTACACACACTATTGATTCTTGAGTAACAAAATGGCTTTTTCCCCTGGCTATTGAAAAAGATTTGAACAGCTAAATATTAATACTGACTCAAGAATAGAAAAAGTATATAAAGCAGAATTGGTAGACAAAGGACAACTGTAGCATCGTAATGGCTATTTACAGTAACGATGTACCTCCATTTATAGAGAGAAGATTGGGAATCCCGTATTGTTTACATGTCTGCTGTTGTATTTCAACTTTTCTTTGTATTTGAACAGATATACACCATTTAGTACCTGTCCCATTATAACCACTCAGTCAATGTGAATCAATGTGAAGAGGTGAATTCATTGTCTCATGAAAATTATTTTACTGATGATCTTCTGTAATTTCAATTCTTACATTAAAGATTAATAGTAAATACCTAATGCAAGTGATTTAGAATTTCATATGTAAAATTTTAAGAAACCAACTCTTCAGCTTTCAAATCTGTTTGATTTCCTCTGTGTGGCATTAAGTCAATTGTCAATAAAAGACCTAAATATATTTTTACATCATATATCAAATGAGTGTTTCATTATCTGTTTCTTGGTTTATATTACGGAGTATTGGACTGAAGAATAGATCATAGGTGGTTCCCCCCCCCCCAATTCTGTTTTTAAGAAAAGATTTAGAAAATTTATAATCATTTCTGAAGCAAACAGATTGAGTGAGCTAGTTATAAATTGTGATGCTTGAGGATTTGTGAATATCAAATTTCTGTTGATCATCAAATTTAAGTCTATCCTAAATTGTTTTTCACACCATTTATTGCCCATTTTGTTTCTCAACATCTAGCCAATTTTGGTCTTGTTAAACAGAGAGCTTTCTTTTTATTTTTTTCTTTGAGGCTCTGTCGACAGTTTTGACAACTATTGTCCACTGTTTCATAGCATAACCTTTCATGGATTTGTATTTTTTTATGTTCTCAGTCTGTACAACTGTCTGAGCTTTGGTGTAGCAAAGAGGCAGCTGTGCTAAGGAGAGTATTGGACTGCTGGCATTAGGAGACCTAGGTTCATTCTCAGAATCCCACTTTGAACAGGCAGGGCGTCCACAGCTTTGATCTCCAGTTCTCATCTATCACATGAGTTTTGAGGACTAAAGGAGATATGTACAGTTTGTGAAACTATAAGTTCTAGCATGCCACAGAAATATTACTTGCCATGTTATCACATGTTGGGCTTATTCTTTAAAGAGGCAGGAAAGACTATAAAATTTGGTACAACTATAAACAACAGTCGAGTAGTCAAAGCAAGGGTCAGTTGCTGCTTGGTCTTGAAAAAAATCCTGTTGCTGATCCGTTTTTAATCATGGGCTCCAATCCAACAACTGTGACTGAGGTGATTATCAAATGATAGCATTATTGTCAGTATAATGGCTGTGACAGAATTTTGTTTCAGGGGCAAGATAGAAGGAAAATGGATTTTAGACATGATATTAATGTTAGCTATATTTCGATATATGCTCATTATTTGAGAATTGAAATGTTTAGAAATATGTTATTCTAGTCAAGTTAATCAAGAATGAGAGAAAGGAAACAGGAATGGTGATCATTTTCTTTTATATAATTAAGGGCTAAAATTCAGTGTCATTAAAAAAAAAAAATCCGAGCCAACACAGAGCCTGACACAGAGTAAGAATTCAGTGCTCAATAAATATTGAGTGAATTGATAAATGAATATAAGCTAATCCAATCCACTGATTTAAGAACCTGCATTGTTCAAGAATTATGGAAGGTCACAGGGTAAGACAGACAGTTCTTTGTCTTCAAGGAGTTTACCGTCTAGTAGGTCATAGTAATTCCTCTTAAATTTTGCAGTGGTTTTGAGGTTCTAAAGAACTTTGAGTTCTGTTCAAATAAAAATATTTGTGTTGACTTAAATTTTAGTTTGCTGTTTTAGTGGTTCACCTGATACATTAACAGCTTCATTTTGCCCTGTGCTATTTTATGATGAAATAGATACTTAAGTGAGGGAATATTTTCTAACTCAGAGAGATAGATGTGAAAGTACTATGGAAGTTATGAACACAAGTTATTAATAAGGGAAAGTAAGATGAATAATTCTACTAAACGATGACATTGCAGAGGTCCTCAGTTTGATGGCAGTGGTTCTCTCCCTGAGCTTGCCTTCACACATGCACCAGACAGACACTCCCAACAGTCCTATCTAATTATGTGAAGTGATTCTCCAGGCGAAGTGGGGTTGGCGTGCTATGTAGATTTTAAAAGCCTTAAGGGGGTTCTGTGTGACTCACCCACCTTTCACCTTGCCATACTCCTCACTCCTGTCTACCTGAAATTACTGACTTTATAATAGGAAGATGAGGAGATAAGGTGTGGTAAAAAGAAGACAGAGGCAGAAACATTTGTTTAAAGTCTCTATAGTTAAAATTGTTACTTACCTAAGTAAGTATAATATAAGAATTTTAAGTAAGTCATCTGTAAGCTTCAGGAAACTATTTACGGCTTTGTTACTGATGATTGAAGAAAGCACCTCTTCATTTGTGAATTTATGAATATTTCCTGCCATCGTACTGGGTTGGTTCTGCGTGTAGCATGTTTCCTGAAGCTTTGGCAGTGCAATACTGTACCTAACTCTCACAATTTTTATAGCTTAGTGTCGTAAAACTAGGACTGAAGACTTCACTGGCATATATACCTTTTCCCATCTTTGTTTCAGAGAAGAGTTTTCTGGCCTTTAACTTTTTAATTGGTCAATTTGCATCCTTCTCAGCTTCCTAATGTCCTTTTTCAGACCCTTGTCTGAATTATCTGGTCTCTAGAGATTTCACTTTACTGCTTTTCCTGCCTCCTTAATGATGTTGCTTTGCCTAAGCCTAGTTTTAGACTCCTCTGGGCTATGTTTATTAAAGCCACTGGAGGCTGGTGTGACCCTTGGCTGCCTTGATTTTACATGTGTTCTGCAACTGAAACCCCAGATACCAATGTTGCAATCTCATAGGCTAAAAGCATTTTGGTAACTTGGTAGGCTTAACGTCAACAGTGCTGGACCTGACATAAAAGTGACAAATTTGGTATTGTTTTAGAGGGGTGTTGGTACAATGGGATAGCTACAATCGAGAAATTGAAATATTTTCACTAACCTTTCTAGCGAGGTGTTTAGCTAAACCTTTTTATTTGTAGTTTCTATAGCATACATTTTAAAAAATCTGCCACAGTGGAATTTTGCCCTTAATTTTTGCTAGTAGTGTACTATGTTATAAAAAGAAAAAGTACTTTCCTCCAGCTTTCATTTATGATACTTCTTTTCTGAGCACTCTTGGCAGTTTAGTTTCATTAGATGTTTTGAAAATTCCCTTTACATTGCTGCTACCATTTGAAGCTGGAAAAGAGGGAACATGATCGATTTCAGATTTGCTTAAAAGCTTCCTGTTTTATCAGTGATATTCTTTTTTTCTTCATATTGAGTCCTTATGGCCTTTCTTGAACTCCATTGATGTTTCTATCTCTCTCTCCCCCTCCCTTCCTCTCTGAAATCAATATAAATATATTTTAAAACAAACAAACAAATAAAAAAAGTGTCAGCCAGTCCCTGCATACCAGATTTATCCTCTATAAAAAAAAAATCAATATAGCCCTGGCTGGTATGGCTCAGTTGGTTGGAGCATCCTTTGGTACAGCAAAAGACGGCAGGTTCGATTCCCGATCAGGGCACATTTCCAGGTTGTGGGTTCAACCCCCAGTCAGGGCACATGCAGGAGGCAGCCCATCAATGTTTCTCTTTCATCTCTCTCTCTCTCTCTCTCTCTCTCTCTCTCTCCTCTCCCTCCCTTCCTGTCTAAAAATAAATAAATAAAATAAGAATCAATATAGATATGACAACAATGCAAAATGTGATCCTGGACTAGGATCTGTCTATATCTATCTACCTTCCTATCTACCTATCTATCACTATAAAGGACATAAGTGAGATAATTACTGAAATTTGAATAAAGTTTATAGATCACACAGTAATACTATAGTAATGTTAATTTCCTTATATTGATAATTGTGCTGTGGTTATATGAGACTATCCCTGTTTTCAAGAAATCTAGGAGTAAAAGAGCATTATGTCTGTAATTATTTTTAAATGGTTTAGGGAAAAATAATATGTGTACATATATAGGGAGAGAATAACAGAAACTTGATAAAATGTTTTTATCTTTTGTGAAATCTGGGTGAAAGATATATGGGAATTCTTTGTACTATTTATGCAACTTTTCTCTAAGTATAAAATTATTTCAAAATGAAGTTAAAAAAATAAAAGTAACACATGTTTGTTACAAAAAAATTAAAGCAGCCCTGGCCAGGTAGCTCAGTTGGTTAGAGCGGCCTCTCATATGCCAAGGTTGTGGGTTTGATTTCCAGTCAGGGCACATACAAGAAGCAACCAATGAATGCATACATAAGTGGAACAGCAAATCTCTTTCTCTCTTTCTCTCTCTATCTCTCCCTCTCTCTTCCTCTCTCCCACTCCCTCTCTTCCTCTTCCTCCCTCTTCCTCTGTCTCTAAAAGCAATAACAACAAAATTTTTAAAAAATTAGACAATATGACAGTGTATATGTCTAATGCAGCGGTTCTCAACCTGTGGGTCGAGATGTTTTTTATCTCTCCCCCTCCCTTCCTCTCTGAAATCAATATAAATTGACCCCTTTGGCGGTCGAACAACCCTTTCACAGGGGTCGCCTAAGACCATCCTGCATATCAGATATTTACATTACGATTCATAACAGTAGCAACATTACAGTTATGAAGTAGCAACGAAAATAATTTTATGGTTGAGTCACAACATGAGGAACTGTATTTAAAGGGCCAGAAGGTTGAGAACCACTGGTCTAATGTAAAGGACCTCAGTACTCCTGCTCTGGGATGTCCACTGTTATCTAATTTATAAGATAGTTCCTTTTTTTCTATAAAGCAAACGTATTTCTTTCTTAACAGAAATAGGGTTCTATTTCACAGAAAATTTCTTGGCATTTCTCCTCATTTAGTCTCTTGCCCATTTCTTTACCTACAAATTTATTTATTTTTAGCAGCAATATAGCATTTTATGTAGAATTCACTCTGTTCTCTGTGGTCTTCAAACTCCCATTTCTGTGCTCTTTCAGTAGTGCCCTCCAGCCTGTGAGTTCCCTGTTTCTCAGGCTTCTTTCCTATAAATGGTAATAACTACCCTTCCTATTTCACAGTTGTCAGGATAAAATGAGATAATATGAAAGCATTTGGAAAAGTTACAAGTGTGATATAAGTGAAGGTGTGGTTGGGTATTGAAGATGTGAATCATAACACTTAATTTATTTATGAAATTTCTAATACTTATACAACATTAACATAGTTTTTTAGAGCCTGTGGGTTGTTTTATTTTTCTTGATGTATTTCTTAACCTCTCCATCCCAAACCCCATGGAGTTCACACTGTTGAAAAGTATTTTTGAAGCAGAAATTGTCCAGTTGCCTTAGGTTATCATACCTGTCCTTGATATCTCTGTAGTCTACATAATCTTTTATAAAAGTACTATACCACACAATTGTTAAAACCTTTTATAGTGATCCATTCTAGGTTTATTGTTCCTTTTAAATTGGACATACTTCACACTGATAGATTTGTTGTCATATATGTTGTATGTATATGTATGAGTTGGTGTGTATGCATGTGTAAATGTGTAGTTGACTCTAGAAAGGTTCTCTTTGCAGTCTGCCGGAGGCTTAAAATAGAAAAGAGAAATATGGAATAGCTTAGGTCTTCTCAAGCTGCTTCTCTTTTCTGGATTTTACACAAGGATGTGGTTGCAGAATGCAGCACTAGTTTTAGTCCAATTCATCTGGAGGCTCAGACACAACTTTCTGCAGCCCACCATTTTACTGTATTAGAAATTAAGACAAAAATGTAAAACAATTATTAGTTTATATAAAAATAACAAGAACAAATCCATGAGAAGAGTAATGTTGTTTTATATTTTTTGCAGATTTCTTTAATGTCAGAATTAATAGAAGACACTTTGAGAACCCCTACTTAGTCAGAACCAGTGGCAGGTAGGCCAACTGGAGTGATAGTTCCGCATCCAGAACAAGGCTGATTAGATTCATTTCTTCCTAAAGAAGAATAATCAGAATAGATTGGTAGCAGGTGCTTGGTAATCCTTCAGGCAGAATCTGTATTTGTTATCTTTGTTCATGTTGCTTTGTTAGGCACCCTTCCCAGTCACCTATGCATCATCTCTCCCTCTACCTTCATTGTAAGTGTACTTTGATAAAAGCCCTGCTGGCAGTTCTAAACACTCTATGCGTTGCAGATCAGTTGTTCAACAAGTATTTGTTAAGCTCCTGCAGCGTGCATGGTAGTGTGCTGGGCACTGAGGATAAAGCAGGGAACAAAATGGGCAGCTCCTCTGCTCTTGTGGACTTTACATTTAAACTGTTAATTACACAGAATATTATTTAATTATAACTTTGATTAAATATTCTTATGGCACAGCATGGGATGTGAGCATATAATCGGGTAACTATTTTTGCTTCGGGGTCAGGGAGGGCTTTGTTGAAGTGATGCTTCTGTGTGTGCTGAAGGATGAGGAGTAATGAAAGTGTACCTCGTAATTTAAATTGTACTTAGGTAGGGATTTTGTTTGTGACTTAGAAAGAAATGTAGAAAAATGGAAGATTTAACCCTGAACAATCTGAATGTTCTCAGTTAAGGGAAGTACAACTACCAGTTTGGAGATAAGTACTGATTATCTGAGCAGATCACTGTCTTCTTTTTCAGACATTGTGGATTTCAGTGGAAGTTCCATGACAACAAGAAGTTTATACTGTAGACCAGTACTTCTCAAATTTTATTTATTTATTTATTTTAAATTTTTATTTATTGCTTAGAGAGAGAGCGAGAGACAGAGGCAGAGAAAGAGAGATTTGTTGTTTCACTTATTTATGCATTTACTAGTTGCTTCTTGTATGTGCCCTGACTGGCGATTGAACCAGCAACCTTGGCGTATCAGGATGACATTCTAATAAACTGAGCTACCTGGCCAGGGCCTCAAATTTTAATGTATGCACAAATGGCTTAGAGAATCTGGTTCAAATACAGGCTTAGATTAAATAGACCCGGGGTAGGCCCTGAAATACTGTTTTTCTTAAAAGCTCATATGTGATGCTGGTGCTGCTGTTCATGGACCACAGTTGGAGTAGCAAGACTATATTTACACATTATAAGACTTAAACAGGAATACCAGTTGAATAAGAGGCTGGATGAATATTCTAGAGGTGATGCCCGATAGGGAGAGATATTTGATAACAGAAGACAAAACAGTTTGGTGTAAGAAGTTATCTTGCTACCACAGAAAGCTAAAAGCACTTCACAGTTGCTATTACAGAGGACAGGAAAGCTAGGAATTGAGATAAATGTCCACTAGCACAGCCAGTGAAATATTCCACAGAGTCATTTCTGTCGTGAGGACCAAGTGAACTAAATGGTCATTAGTCTGCCGAGGGAAAAGGTCAGGTACTGAGGATTGATGGCCACCCCGTGGTAATTATGTGGACTCTAAAAATGATCTGTGACAAGCAACTAAAGATACTAGAAAGGAAGGTGTACTTGACTTGGAAAAAGAACATTTAATACTACTTTTTGTTATTGATAGATGATTAATCCATAGATGGAGGGTACTGCTAAATAGATTTAGGTTAAAAAAAAGTTTCAAATGGCAAAGATAGAAATAAAATGGGAAAAGGGGAATCTTATAGTTAATATCCAGTTTGAAAGAATCACCACCATTAAGCCTATTAATTGCACATGTCTCTTTTTTATTTCTCTGGCACCCAAAATAGAAGCTTATAAGACTGTCAAAAGACATCACTGGTCTGCCCTTCTTTCATATGTTGTTATGGGAAATATTTTTTGTTATAGTTATGCTTTTAAATTTTTTTCAAGATGTTTTATAGATCTTAGTAAATTTATTTGGATCAGAGAATTAAAGTAACATCAAGTTAGCATGTTATATTATGAACTGTATGTATAAAGTATTTTCTATTTAATCATATTTTTTCGTGGTTTATTTTTCTAAGAATATGTCCATTTTGTCTAGGTTGTCCAGTTTGTTGGAGTAGAGTTGTTCATAGTATTTTTTTACTTCTCCTCTGTCATTTCTGATTTTGTTTATTTGGGTCCTCTCCCTTTGTTTCTTGGTGAGCCTGGCTAGAGGTTCATCAATCTTGTTTATCCTTTCAAAGAACCAGCTCTTGGTTTTATTGATCTTTTGTATTGTGTTGTTTTTTTTTGTCTCTATGTTATTTATTTCCGCTCTGATCTTTATTATTTTCTTCCTTCTGCTTACTCCAGGCTTTTCTTGTTGCTCTGTTTGTAATTTTTTAAGTTGTAGGGTTAGATAATTTATTACCATTTTTTCTTGTTTTTTGAGGTAGGTCTGTAGAGCTATGAACTTCCCTCTCAGGACTGCTTTCACTGTGTCCCACAGATTTTGGTTCTTTGTGGTTTAAAAGAAATATTTAAGTTATAATGACTTAAAATCCTGTCTAATTTTCTCACCCTTTAGAATGTCATGTTTTTGGATTTGGCAAAATTATATGACTTTCAGTACATTTAAAGAAAGGAATTAGGGGTTCTACAGTAATGAGCAGTCATTTTAGGTTACTTGTCTTTTAACTTTTGTATATTAACCTATAGAAGGACAATAGACATAATTTACTAATAAAGAGGACTAAGAGAATACCGAATCAGGCAACTATCATAAACTTTTTAAAACCCTCTAAGACTGAATTCGTAGAATTCAAGATTCGTTCTAGAGTAAAATCAACTTTGTCAATTAGATTGCTTCTTTTTTTAAAAAAATATATTTTATTGATTTCTTACAGAGAGGAAGGGAGAGGGATAGAGAGTTAGAAACATCGATGAGAGAAACATCGACCAGCTGCCTCCTGCACACCCCCTACTAGGGATGTGCCCGCAACCAAGGTACATGCCCTTGACCGGAATCGAACCTGGGACCCTTGAGTCCGCAGGCTGAGGCTCTATCCACTAAGCCAAACCGGTTAGGGCTAGATTGCTTCTTGATTTTTAGACGCAGGCCCACCTAAAAGGGGAGACTGAGAAAAGCTGAGGGTGTGGCATATGTTTGTAAAAAATCAACTTTCCTTCTAAACTGACTCAGTAAGAACTGGGTGTCAAGGAACATCAAAGGTATGCGAGTCTTTGTTTGAAAAGAAATGAAATATGTAAAAGGGGATCCCCTTGAAGTTACTGAGTTGAAAAGAGTAGTCACTGTAACAAAGATGATCATTTTTGTGTTGCCTTAGGTTTAAATGATTGAGTATTTTAAAAGTGTTCAATAGGCTGCCATTCTATGGATGATGCTATAGTGGCATGGAATGTTGCCGGTTAGACTGGGATCCTGCCATGCTTGGGAGCATTTGGGGCAGGAACAGTTGGTAGTACTCTACCTTTCCCACCTGGAGAATAGTATGACTAGAGACATGATGAGGTACAGCTACATTCCAAAGGCAGCCCCATGGAAAAAACGATTCATCAGAGAAGTAAATACATTTCCATGCTATTTCTTTTTTTTTTTTTTTAAATATGTTTTTTTTGCCCTAACCGGTTTGGCTCAGTGGATAGAGCGTCGGCCTGCGGACTGAAAGGTCCCAGGTTCGATTCCGGCCAAGGGCATGTACGTTGGTTGCGGGCACATCCCCAGTAGGGGGTGTGCAGGAGGCAGCTGATTGATGTTTCTCTCTCATCAATGTTTCTAACTCTCTATCCCTCTCCCTTCCTCTCTGTGAAAAATCAATAAAATACATATTTAAAAAAATATGTTTTTATTGATTTTTTTTTAAGAGAGAGGAAGAAAGAGAGATAGAAACATTGATGAGAGAGAAACATCAATCAGCTACCTCCTGCATGTGCCCAAACCCAGGCTTGAGCCCTGACTAGGAATCGAACCGGTGACCTCTTGTTTGATGGGTCGATGCTCAACCACGGAGACACACCAGCCAGGCAATTTCCATGCTGTTTCTTAAATGCCTTCAAAACATGGACGAACGGCTATTATTTCTTCTTTAAAACCTAGAAACAAGAAAAAAAAAAGCCTTTCAGTTTTAAAGCCAAGTAGCTTGGCAATCTAGTCGCAAACTATATTTGTGCTCCTGAATGCTTGTATGATTCAGTTGTTCCTTCTAATAAAATATGCCTTGCTTTCCCCTGGATCAGTGATGGGGTTTAATGGATGAGAGTGAGGGCCCTGTTCTCATCTGGCTAACATGACTCTAGTGAAATGAAACTAAAAGGCTGGGTTTAGGATTCAAGCCTGTGTTCTTCTGGTTTACCTTGGGTTCCTCTATTCTACAGTAAACGTCTTAGTTGAAACTTATTTACTATCAAGCCCAAAAGGTCTACCAAGAATTAGTATTAGAAATTGACCCAAGTTGCAAATTATGGATATCATTATGGTCCTGTATTATTGAGGGTCGCATGTGTCTGTTCTTGACATCTTTCCCTGTATAGCTTCAGAGGGCACAGAAAGAGTCCTCAGTGGTGGATCCTGGTTTTGTTGTTTCCTCCAGAGGTATATACTTTTTTATCTTACTTTATTTCAAATTTATTTCTGAAAGTCTTGATTTTTGTTGTTACTGGTATATATTCAAACAGCTAATTTAATCATGGCATTATTGGAATATTTGTATTGCAAAACACCATGCAAGGCTCTAGGCCAGCGGTTCTCAACCTGTGGGTCGCGACCCCTTTGGCAGTAGAACGACCCTTTCACAGGGGTCGCCTAAGACCATCCTGCATATCAGATATTTACATTACGATTCATAACAGTAGCAACATTACAGTTATGAAGTAGCAATGAAAATAATTTTATGGTTGGGTCACAACATGAGGAACTGTATTTAAAGGGCCAGAAGGTTGAGAACCACTGCTCTAGGCCAAGTCAAAGTGAATTTTATCTCCAGTCGGTATATTTTTTAAAGCCTTTTAAAAAAATCCTCACCCAAAGATACATTTTATTGATTTTTAGAAAGAGAGGAAGGGGGAGGGAGTGGAGGGATGCAGGGAGGTTGGGGGGGAGGGGGAGAAGAGAGAGAGAGGTGTGTGTGTGTGAGAGAGAGAAACATCCATCGGTTGCCTCCTGTACCTCTCACGACCAGGGACTGAATCCGAAATCTACATATGTGCCCTGATTGGGAACTGAACCTGCAGCCTTTTGGTGTATGGACTGATGCTCCAATCAACCCAGCCAGGGCTAGAAAACCTTTTTTAAAAAATACCAAAATTTAACCTGCTCTAGAATTGGGTTAAGGACCTAGAATTGGGGGTTTATTAATGGGTAGAATCTGAAGGCTTCCATTATCTATTATACAGTTAATGAACTGGAAGAATGGACATGAAAAAAATATTTTTTAAGCCATGCCCTTACCTTGTTTTGAGCTCTGCAGTGGTTAGATATGTGTTCTGACTGGCTTATCAGAGTATGTTTCTATTTAACGTAAGTCCAGAGGGAACTGGGAGCACACATTTACAGAGCAAGGCCGGGACACTTCAGGGTTTTTTCTTTAATGTATGCTTTTTTGTGCCCTCACAGCCCTTAGTGTTGGCATCTGCTCCCTAAGTTGGTTTCTGGCTCTTTTGGGAAGTCATTTGTTTTTTAAGGATTTATTAAATAAAACCTGTTCTATTTTTATTACAGCAGTTTACATGTTCAGTGACATTTGTTAATATGATAGCAAATCTGTAAAGCCACTAGAACCAAACAAAGGTCACTTCAAAGTACCCAGCTTACGAAGAATGGAGCAGCCATATCCCTAGGAAATTATCAAAGCCAAGCTCAGTTGCCATGGCAAGTCATTTGTTTTTAATTTGGTTAATGCAGATGAAAACTACATAGGGAGGCAAGAGGAGAAATGGGGGAAAAGACACAATTCTTCAAGCATGTAGGGATGTGCATAAACAATTTCAAAGACTTCATACAGGTGTAGAGAGGTAGGAAAACAGCAAATGTGAAGCCTTCAGCAGCTTGAAAGCTGTTATTTTGAGAGTTGCGGTATTTGAAGGCAGACAGCACATTTTAAAATAATGGTGAAATTTAATTTTTTCCCACCTTAAATGGAATTAAGCATAATTTGGTCATCATTTTATTTTGATAGTTGTGGGTCTCCGAATGAATACCAGAGCTTTGAAATTTTAGATGGCCCACGGCAACATCTCCATTGTTTTCATGGTATATGAAGATATTTTTTGTCTCTTTTAAGCAAAACAGTGCATTTTTCTCTTTCTAGTTCTTCACAAATGACTGTGAATTAATTATTTATTTTTATATTTTGCAGTACATTTTTATACCTGAAATTTCTGGTAGTGTGGGCACTTGTCCTCCTGGCAGATTTTGTCCTGGAGTTCAGATTTGAATACCTGTGGCCGTTTTGGCTTTTCATCAGAAGCGTCTATGATTCCTTCAGATACCAGGGACTGGTATGTTTATTAATACGTTTTTCAAGTATAATGAATTTAATAACCCTTCCAAGAAAATCTTCAATAACTGATAATGAAACTGTTTAAAGTAGATTTTATTAGTAATACTTAGGGGACTGTATTGAGCTAAATAGAGTCTATGAACTGACTCTAAGGCTGTTTTGTTAAACCCATTGATCAAATTAATAATCCCTCCTCCTCTACCATTGCAGTGAAAAGAAGGGGAGGGAAGGAGGACTCCCGGAGGGAGACAGAGTGGTGGAGGAAGAGTAGTTACCCCGTTCTGCTCTAAAATGTTTCTGGAGCCCCTATCACTGTGTTGGTGATTGGCTTAGAGTTAGAGCAGTGCCTCTCAAACTTTATGGTTTCAGAACCTGTTTACATCCTTAAAAATTATTGAGGACTCCAAAGAGCTTTTATTTATGAGGGTTACATTAATCCATATTTACTATATTAAAAATTAAAACAAAAACTTAAATATTTATTAATTCACTTAAAAATAATAGCAAACTTATTACCTATTAATACAAATTACATTTTTAAATGAAAAATAAATATATTTTCCAAAACAAAAAAATTGGAAGATCGACTACAGTTTTGCAAATTTATATAATGTCTGGCTTAATGGAAGACAGCTGGATTTTCATATTTGCTTCTGAACTTACTCGATTGCAATATCACATATCATGTAGCTTCTGGAAAACGCCACCATACTCTTGAGTGAATGAGTGTGAAAAAGACAGATAACATCTTAGTATTATTATGAAAACAGTTTTGACCTGGAAGACTTGCTGAAAGACCCCTAGAGATCCCCAGACCATGTGTTGAGAATTGCTGGTTTAGAGCAAGGGCACAGGTCTTATAGTTCTGTTGTGTTCCATAGCCACATCTTAAACTTATAACTCTTTCTACCTGGGCATGGTGCTTTGGTCAAAGCAAATCTATGCCTTGAAAAGATGGTTTTGAGCTCATGTCCCATTGGTAATAGGTAGAAGTGTGTCCCGAGGAAAGCTGTGTTAGTAAAATCACTAACATCAGCATAATTCTTATTGTTTAGTTTGGTTCATATGTGCTCCAGCAGCCTACCCTTTAAGAATGAGGCTCTTTAGGAATGTATTGTAAGGAGAGAGGAGGTTTTTCTGTGTTAAAATGCTAGTTCTTTTAGTAACCTACCTGTGGAGTCCAAGTGAACTCACTTGAACCAACCTCAATTTGTTTCAGTCCAGTTCTTCATGATTTGAGGCCATAAACAGGATTACTCTTTAACATTAAATTAACACTACTTTTTATATGGTTGATTTTAAATGTTTAAAATTTCCTGTTACAACTTGCTCTGTAGTTATTGCATGGCAGTTTCAGAGATTTTGTCCAACATATTTTTAATAATCTCTGTTTGAAAATAACAGGTTCTAAGAGGTGTTTCTTATTTTGTTTTGTTTTTCCCTTTAGGCCTTCTCAGTGTTTTTTGTTTGTGTAGCATTCACGTCAAATATCATATGTCTGCTGTTCATCCCCATACAATGGCTTTTTTTTGCTGCTAGCACATATGTATGGGTTCAGTACGTATGGCACACAGGTAAGTCTTAATGATTTCTTAGATGGACAAAAATCTTAGATTCAGACTTCTTAAATGTGATTAATCTTTAAATAAATTATTTAGAGTTCAGTTTAATGTAGACATTTTAAAGTTGTCTTTTCCTAATAGATTATAATATACCTTTAAAATATATTTTATTTTTTCATTCTTAAATCAAAAGTTTAAGCCTTTATGACTTGATATCTCGATTGTTACTGCTGTCATCATCATTTTGTTGTTGTTGTTTTGTTAATCCTCAACTGAGGATATTTTTCCATTGATTTTTCAGAGAGAGAAGAAGGGAGAGGGAGAGACAGGAAGAGAGAGACATCGATTGGCTGCCTCCCACAGGCGCCCCAACCAGGGCTGGGGATCGAGCCCACAACCAAGGCACGTACCTTTGACTAGAATGGAACCTGGGACTCTTCAGTCTGAGGGCGACACTCTATCCACTGAGCCAAATTGGCCAGGGCTGTCATCATCATTTTTTTTTTTAAAGTCAAAGTGATTTCTATTTAGGTAGACTTGAAGACAGCTATGTGCCAAATAGGAAAAATGTTCTGGGAGTTTCAGCATTGAAAGGAAGTCAGAGGTCATTTAGTTGAAGCCTTATTTGGTATAGCATTCCTCACACATGGTATTTAGTCTCTGTTTGAAAACCTATAGTGACAAGGCACTTACTAGTACTACTGTTGTTTTGGGGCATCTGTAATAGAAAATTCTTTCTCATACTGAGCCAGAATTTTCTTCCTTATACTTTTGACCTAGTACGTCTTAACTGTTTTTGGACTTTCTGATCTGACTTAGAGGATATAAATTTTAAATTTCATTAAAATTTCAGGGGAGCTGCAGGTCATCTCCTCAAGGCCAAATATTGGACCTCCTTGCATTAGAGCCACACTGAATAGGTGTAACCTCCATCCACATTAATATTTCTTTAGAGAGTAAAGACACTGTCATATCCTCTCAAGTCTTCTTTTCTGGAGGTAAAACATCTCTGGTTTCATCAGCTTTTCCTTGTGTGTTATTTTAAGCACTTCATCACCCTAATCTCCCTAGTTCTTAGTGGGTTTTCTTTTTTTTAAGAATCCTTATCTTTTTTTTTTTAATGTTTTTATTGATTTTAGAGAGAAGAAGGGAGAGGGAGAGGGATAGAAACATCAGTGATGAGAGATAATCATTCATCGGCTGCCTCCTGCACGCCCCACACTGGGAATCGAGCCCACAACTTGGGCATGTGCCCTAACAGGGATCAAACCATGACCTCCTAGGTCAGTGATGGTAAACCTTTTGAGCTCGGCGTGTCAGCATTTTGAAAACCCTAACTTAACTCTGGTGCCGTATCAAATATAGAAATTTTTTGATATTTGCAACCAGAGTAAAACAAAGACTTATATTTTTGATATTTATTTTATATATTTAAATGCCATTTAACAAAGAAAAATCAACCAAAAAAATGAGTTCGTGTGTCACCTCTGACACGCGTGTCATAGGTTCACCATCACTGTCCTAGGTCATGGGTTGACACTCAACCACTGAGCCACACCAATGAGACCTTAGTAGTTCTTTTAACCAAAATTTATTGTTTCAGGTATGTTCTGACTTGAAGTGACACAGTCACCCCCCTTCTTCTTACTGCTATTTCAAATTAAGATGAAATGAGATGTTTTGACAGTTCCACTCCACTGTCAAAGACTGAACATCAGATGCATAGGATGTGATCATTTAACTTGTCTGCGAAGCTGCCTGAAACTTGATTCTTAGGACCAGCTGCAACCTGTAGGATTTTGACCACTTAGGGAACACCAGCTAATATAAGCTCTCTGGAGCAACATTCATCCTCTTCTCAAAGTTACTAAGAGGGTGGTGTTGGCCCATGTAGAAGACGCAGTTCAGCTCTGTTATTTAAAGTATCCATCATGAGCATGGTTTTCTCCATCTCCACCTTCACCACTCCTTCATATGTGACTTGATTTATAAGCTAGCACAGCCGTGGGCAAACTACGGCCCGCGGGCCGGATCCGGCCCGTTTGAAATGAATAAAACTAAAAAAAAAAAAAAAAGACCGTACCCTTTTATGTAATGATGTTTACTTTGAATTTATATTAGTTCACACAAACACTCCATCCATGCGTTTGTTCCGGCCCTCCGGTCCAGTTTAAGAACCCATTGTGGCCCTCGAGTCAAAAAGTTTGCCCACCCCTGAGCTAGCATGATGGTTTCTGAGTGTGCTTTCCTCTAATTAAAGAGATTTTCCTACACACCAGTTTTTCCTTGTACTTCCTTGGCTTGGGCCTGTTTCGAGTGAGTTGCCATTTACAGTAGTCACTGTCTCTAGGTCTCAGTTTATTCTTTGTCATATGAAAGTGGAGTAATCTAGATAATGTTTAAGGGAGCCTTCCAGCTCAGATAATCTGTGACTCTGATGAACTATAATGATTTCCTAAATTACTTTAATAATGTCTCAGTAGTTAAGAAAAAACTACTCGTATAACTATTCATAGAATCTACTGGGAACGAGTTTGGTGGGTGACCCACAGGGCAGCAATGAAGCTAATGTCATAAGTGATACTGGCCTCTCTTTAGCCCTAGGCTCAGAAATGTATGTTGGAATAGCTCAGCTGCTAAGTATGTTTTAATTAGGAATGATTGGAGCTCAAACAAACAAACAAAACAACTTTGTTTTACTATTGGGCCTAACAAACATGAGTGCAGTTTATGTAACTTGGGATTAATTTTTTCCCAGTTGTTAAAATGTAAAATTCTTTCTTAAGAATATTAGGAATGGTTGATGAAATTATATATTGCCACAAAAGAATATTATATTATAAACTTTTCCCCTTGCTGTTGAGAGGGGGGAAATAGGATACAAAATTGTATGTACAACATGACTGTTGTTCAAAAATATTTTCAACATAATTTTACTTTATTATTTGATAGGTTTAGAAATACAGATATTTTGTCCAAATTTTTCTATTTTTTTCTGTAATGTAATTTTTTAAATTATATTTATGATAACCTTAGAAATTAATATAGGGAGTAGGGAATATAACTTTTTAATGTGTTTTTATTGATTTCAGAGAGAGGAAGGGAGAGGGGGAGAGGGAGAGAGGGATAGAAACATTGATGAGAGAGAAACATCAATTGGCTGCCTCCTACATGCCCCCTACTGGGTATTGAGCTCACAATCAGGGCATGTGCCCTAACTGGGAATTGAACCAGAACCTCCTGGTGCATGGGACGATGCTCAGCCAGCCAACCCAGCCACACTGGCCAGTTGGGAATATAAATTATTTTGAAACTAAGATGAAGATGCATTTTCCTAAAGGTTGCTGTCTATCATCCTATATTGTAAAAATACCTTTTTTTTTTTTTTGTATAATCTATAAGAATGATTGAGTCTATTAGCTACCTTCACAGAGGTTGGGAGTGTTTTCCTTCTTTATGGACTAGGCCTAAGGGAACTTAGGTTTATTCTCTTTAGAAGCAGACTTAGTATTATCTCTGTAAACTTGGACCAATTTGTATAAACTCTGGGCCTCACTTTACTCTTCAGTAAAATAAGGAAGTGGGGCTAAATGATATTCTTTCTAGTTCCAAAATTGTATGATTTATTTGTTTGTTTGTTTCATCCCAAAGATCCTTAGCAAAAAGCTTTAGGTCACTGATTTTTCTCCCCTAGTCTCTCTTTGGTAACTTGCTTGCCTTATACAGTCTAAAAGGAGCTCTTTCCACAGTTGTTGGACCTCATGCCTATGTAGTCCATCTTTATAAAATACCCCATTATTAGTCACATCCTGACAAACATGGACCTCGCTGCAGATTTTGATTCTAAAACCAGTGAAAATTATTTCTTATTTGCAACTTATTCTGTTGCAAGCTGCTTTTTTCTTCCTTGGAAATTGTTTTTAATTACAAAGGGAATATGAGCTTGTAGTTAAGAAAAAAAAAATTTTTTAATAGTACTTCAGTGTCAGAAAAATTTCTTTGTGTTGTAGCTCATTTGTACTTAATAATTTATTTTTTTACATATTTCATATTAGTACAGATCTTCATTCTTTTGAAAACTGCATCATATTTTATTATATAAGTTAACCAAAATTAAACAGTTCCCTATTGATGGACATTTTAATTAATTCTATTTTTTTCACTGTTGCAAATAATAATACAGTGCATATTCTTATATACTTATCTCAAGGTTCTTATATTTCTGTAGGGTAGATTTCTGGAATTGGAATTTCTAGGTCAACGGTTTAAGTATTTTAAATTTAATTATATTGCCAAATTGCCTTTTAAGATGTTTGCCTCAATTTATATCATTGCCAAGTATGAGAATGAACCCTTTCTCATACCCTCCCTATACGATTACATGTCTTAAATTTATGCTTATCTGATAGGTTAAAAAAAGGAATCTCATTTTTAAAGTTTGTATGTCCCTAATCAGTAGTGAAATTGAGCCTCTTTTTATATGCTTTTTAGCCATCTATGTATTTTCTTTTATGGCTTATAATCATTGCCTTTCTGTTGATTTATAGGAGCTCTTTGTATGTTAGGGCTATAACTCCTTTGTTTACATATACTGTAAATATTTTCTGCCAGAATGTTTGTCTTTTATTTCTTCCTATGATTCCATAGCATCTTTTGTCATATAAAAGCTTTCAGTTTGTATTAAATTGCTTTTTAATTGTTTAAAAGTCTTAATGAAAGTAACTGTAGTTGAACCAGTCTTTCAAACAACCCATCTGTTCTGTTAGTTAATGTATCATTGATGCTTGTCTCTCTGCTGCTTTTCCACAGAAAGAGGAGTGTGTTTGCCCACAGTGTCCCTCTGGATACTCTTTGTTTATATTGAAGCAGCAATTAGATTTAAAGATCTCAAAAATTTTCATGTAGACCTTTGTCGTCCATTTGCTGCTCACTGGTGAGTATTATGTATATTCTTAATCTATAATTCAGTTCAATGTTTTTAATGTAAATGGTAAGTCCAATTGTAAATTTTTTCTTAGAGATTTTATGTGAACCCAGAAGACCACATAACATGGTGGCAAAGAGCATGAGCTCTCTCTATTCAGGCAAATGAGTGTTTGAATGCCAGCTCTGTCCCCTAACAGCTTTGTTGCCTTGAACATGTATGTCACTGTCTCTAAGCCTTAGTTCTCCTACCTGTATATTGGGGACTTGTCTCATGGGAATATGGGAAAGATGAAATGAAGTGATGTATGTAAAGTGTTTAACTTAATGCCAAGTACATAGGTATCTGATAAATGTTATCTGTTTTCATAATGATCAGGTATTGATCCTAAAAAGTCTTGATGAAATATATGGCTATTTCATAAAGCATAAATGAATTTATAATTTTCTTATCTAATTTATAAAAGCAAGAAAATATTAATATTTAATGGAATATTATTACTAGTTAAAGGAATATTATTTTTTCTTTTAAAATGTAAATTAATATTAAGATAATTTATTCATTTAACCTTAACCATGAAACTTTTTTTGTTGTTAATTCTCACATGAGGCTATTTTTTTTACCATTGCTTTCCAGAGATTGATAAGTTTTAAAATTAATGAAGTATAATATGAGTTTTGACAGTATTTGCAGAGGCTTTGAAACAGACTGATGAGTTGAATGAAAATATTTCAACTTTTATTCCCTCAGGTAGCAAGAATATTAAATTAGTCACTTGAATTTGAGCCTGTTTTCTGGTATTAAAAAACAAATGATGTCCTTTTGATTTTTTAACACTTATGATATTGACTTATGATCCCTACCCTGTTAGATCTTAAAAGCATACAGATGCCCAAATTCTAATATTGCACAAGGCACTTCAATGTTAATCAACAACATTAGCCACTGTATCCAGCAATCACTGTGGTAACTTCTTGAGTTAGCTTGAAGAATGCCAACTCTAATGGGCAGCTTCTTATGGTCTAATGGTCCCACTGTTCCCTGGGGGTTTGTTCTACATACCAACTGCTTCTGATTTCCACAGCAGACACCCCATTTATTTATGTGTTTGCTGAATGCTCAACTATCATCATCTAGCGTTTATTTCTTAATTTCAGTCATAGGTGTCCTCATATGTATGATGCATGTGTTCTTTTGTTTTTAACTTGCAATTACTGGCTGGATTGTCTTCTCTCTAGTATTGGGTACCCTGTGGTGACTTTGGGCTTTGGCTTCAAAAGTTATGTAAGCTACAAAATGCGGTTAAGGAAGCAAAAGGAAGTACAAAAAGAGAACGAATTTTACATGCAGCTTCTTCAACAAGCCCTACCCCCAGAGCAGCAGATGTTACAGAAGCAAGACAAAGAGTCTGAGGAAGGTAGGTCTTTACCCTAAAGCTATTGGCTCAATAGGTTAGTCATTATTTTATTTGTCAGTACAGTTTTATTTATTTATATTTTTTGGAAAAGTTGCTAGGCCTTTGGAAGATTACCAAGGATTTCCTGTTTTCTGGTATTCCTCGTTAGGGCCATTGCTTTGTTTGATCATGTAATATAGAGTGTGAGTGATGTTCTCTACCTAGGATCTGAAGACCATGTACCTTTAAATATGTTTATTTGTTATTTTTATATCTTATTTAATTTTTTTATATTTTAATTGTTATAAATATTTTAAAATATTCATTCTTAGTAGCAAAATAGTATGTATAAATGTATGAGTTTGTACCTGAAGCAAACCAAGAATCAAAGTATAAGTCAGATAGAGAAATAGATAAACAGAATTGTTTTATAAGTCAAAATTTTTCTGAATAGAGCAAAGATGGATAAGTCCCATTTTAAATGGCTCATATAATGCAATGTGGAACTTAAATGGTACCTTTTCTATAAGGACCTCTCTAATGAGCATATAATTAATTCAATAGATGAATTTACAGCAGTACCAGTTTTCTTTGGTTTGATAGTTGAAAGTTTGGTGGTCATATTTGTAGTTGGTATATGCCAAATCTTATTCTCTGGTATGGTGCAAAAATATCTCTTTAAGTAGACTTTGACAAATTGGAATGTGTAGACCTGAAACAGAAAATTTTTTATAAGATACCTAGTAAATGATACAGACTTTTTAAAAAAAATTTTTTTAATTGATTTCAGAGAGGAAGGGAGAGGGAGAGAGAGATAGAAACATTAATGATGAGAGAGAATCATTGATCTGCTGCCTCCTGCACGACTCCCACTGGGGATCGAGCCTGCAGCCTAGACATGTGCCCTGACCAGGAGTTGACCATGACCTCCTGGTACATAGGTTGATGCTCAACCACTGAGCCACACCAGCCAGACCAGACTTCTTATGTCAAAGCTAGAGTCAAGAAAAAAATGTAGATTTGAATTGTAACATCACACTTCTTTTGTTTAATCTCTTTGTTTTCAATTAAGTTATTAAGTTTGTTTAATCTAAACATCTCTTAAAATATGGCTTCTTACGAATATGGTCTGCTTGTGTCCTCTCACCTCAAGTTTGATTTGACCGATAAATGAAGTAGGATTTAATTATAAAATCCTCATCGTATTTTTGAGGCAAAGTTTTAGTGGCTTGTTTGGTGTTTATAAATGATTAGAGGCCCAGTGCACAAAATTCGTGTGCAGGTCGGGTCCCTAGGCCTGGCTGGAGATCAGGGCCAATCAAGTTCCCCGCCTCCCCTCCTCTCCCCTCATCCTTCCCTCTCCGCCCACGCACTGCCACTGCATGGTTCCCTGCCTCCGCCCCTCCTCCTTTCCTCACTGCATCCGCCACCACCCACCCCTGGTTCCTCGTCCCAGCCCGGGGCCTGGCCCTGATTGGGTGATTGGGGCCTGCCAGGGGGAGGGACTGGGAGGTTGCCTGGCCCCAATTAGGTGTTCGGGGCCTGCTAGCGGGGGGTCAGGGCCGCAGGAGGTTGGTCCCCAGGTGGGGGTTGATCTGGTGTAGGGCAGGCCAGGGGGCTGCGGGCAGTTGGCCAGCTGGCCCTGCTCCCGATCAGGGCCCGATGGGGAAGGACCAGCTGGGGGGGGCAGGGGGAGAGGGCTTATTGGGGGCTGGGACGGCTGTCCAACCTCCCACAGCCCCTCCTTCATTCGGGGTGGGGGAGCCGATGGGGGCAGGGCCGGCCAGGGGGAGGGACCGTGGGAGGTTTGGGGGGCCGATCAGGGTCCCAATCGGGCCGGTTGGCCGCTGCAGTGTGCATCATAGTGACCAGTCATTCTGGTCTTCCTGTAGTTCCAGTTGCTTGGCTTTTATATATGTAGATGGTAATTTTCTAAATATTCAGCTTCTCAAATTTATTTGGATTTGCTTCTTGAAGTTAGCATGATGTGGTGTAGTTACTGCTTCTAAATGAGCTTGCAGATTAATGTGAGTTTCTAAGCATAGATAATGCAGTTTATTGAATCAGTCTTTTCTGTTTTATACAACTAAATATTCTGATGTGGATTTTTTGTTTGTTGGTTTGTTTTTGGTATTGTAGCTGCCAAAGGATTACCTGATATGGACTCCTCCATCCTTATACACCACAACGGAGGCATCCCAGCCAACAAAAAACTCTCCACAACTTTGCCAGAGATAGAATACCGAGAAAAAGGGAAAGAAAAGGACAAGGATGCCAAAAAACACAACCTTGGAATAAATAACAACAATATTCTACAACCTGTAGACTCTAAAATACAAGAAATTGAGTATATGGAAAATCATATCAACAGTAAAAGGTTAAATAATGATCTTGTGGGAAGTACAGAAAACCTCTTGAAAGAGGACTCATGCACTGCTTCCTCAAAAAATTACAAAAATGCCAGTGGAGTTGTGAACTCCTCACCTCGAAGTCACAGCGCCACAAATGGGAGCATTCCTTCTTCATCTAGTAAAAATGAGAAGAAGCAGAAATGCAGTAGCAAGAGCCCAACTACACACAAAGACTTAATGGAAAACTGTATTCCTAATAACCAGCTAAGCAAACCAGATGCACTGGTAAGGTAAGTGTGCCTGCTGTGTCCTTACCAACATTCTCCAATAAACTTACCTTAGGTCTTGAAAGACACACTTCCATGTGGGCCTGTGGGAATTGTTGGTGTTCAGATACTATAACTATAAACTGTGGCATTTGACATTTTAGTGTTTATTTCATAAGGGTTTGTTGGCCACGGGTGCCACTGTTCTGAAGCATTGATTCCAGCTCTTTCCAGTGTTTTAAGAAGGGACAGTGATTGCTTTCCACATTTGACATATTTACATGTAACTTGATTTTCTAATGCTATGGAGAAGCTTATCTTTAGTCTTTGTCCTTTTTGCATATTCAAAGTTCTTGTGGCATAGACACAAAAAGAAGAGTGTGTGTCCTGTTGATGCAAATCTCTTTGTCAGATAGATACCAAAAAGGGTGGTGGAAAATTGCCCTTACCACTCTGTGCTTGATTGTTTTTCTACTTAAAATGCAAATCATTCTCCAAATAACTCTGGGAAAGTTAGGTTTGAAAAATAATCTCTTTCTAAAAGTTCCAGAGGTAAATACAGTGTTAGACATGGATTTAAATCAGAAATATTCCTTTTTTCATCTTTAATAAAATAATAATGTTGTATTACCTTGACTGGCTCAGACTTAATTTTGCTGTATTTTATATTTTTGTGTATTCTTTAAAATACCCATGTTCCTTGTACCCTCATATCTTTTAATTTGGAAACTGGGATCTGAACTAGAGCTTTTTTAAATATGTAACTGAAGAGGGCAATTGTAACTCCCTCTAAAAGTTACCTTACAATCCTTCTCCTTTGGCTTGGGTAAGAACAGTGTATTCTAGGAGAGAAGGTTTCCAGTGTTCTAACTTATATAAACAAGATTATTAATTTCTTTTCATTTCTGATTGGTGGCTAGATTAAGGGAAATATATTTGGGTTCTACTGCGAAAGGCTCTTGAAATTTTATAGCCCCGTCACTTTTTGAAGCACACCCTGTTGTTGCTGATGTCAGGCTGGTGTCCCCATCTGTTTGTCATGACATCATGCCTTGTAGAGAAAGCACTCAGCAGAGAACCCTCCTGTAGATGCCCATGGGAGAAAGACCAGTTAGTTGACCTTTTATTTCAGCTATCCCACAGATTTATTATATGTTATAAATACAAACTTTTGATATCCTTTTGATATCAAGCTTTTTGATATCCTTTCTCCTATACATTTTAATAATAGCAGTCAACTCAAAACAGTTTTCCTCTGTTGGGTATTGCAGAGAGAGCAGTCAAGACTCAGTCTTATGACACCATCTCACTTGGGTCTCAGTTGTGGTTATTGATTGACTCTACTGCCTGATCTACCTGCAGTAAAGAAGTTCAAGGACTCACTCAGATGGCCAGTCTTCCAGTATGTGGTGGGTCCAGTGCCCCCGTGCCTCTTCCTGTGGTCACTAATGTGATGTGCCTGATCGGAAGGGTCCCAGAATATTACTCTGTTTTAGGGAATACCTTCTATCAAATACATAAGTAGAAAATATTGTATTTAAATAGTTTTATAAGCTTCCATAGGATTATTTTCAACTTTTAATGTAATATAAAAAATAAGGAGATGACCTAAATATCCAACAATAGGGGATAAATGTAAATAAATTATGGTTCATCCATTTGATGGACTTTTAATATAGGCATTACAATTATGTTTTTGAGCCATATTAAACAATATAGGAAAGTGCTAATGGCAATATTTTATAAAGAAAGTAGAAAGCACTTTTATTAAAAATAATTTTTAAAGAATATACATAGGAAAAGGATTTGAAGGGAGAGAAACCAAAATGATAACAATGGTTATTGCCCCATGGTAGTATTGAGGCTTTATTTTTTCTTTTTACTTTCATGCATTTTCAAGTTTTTTTATGATGAACAACAATGAAAGTTTATAAAAAGAAGACTGACTATCTGAGTAAATTATCCAGCTTGGCTGTAGAAGGTCTTATCACACTTCCTCTCGCTCTTCTTGGCTCTCTCCTGTTTCCTCTTGTTTGACTTCATGATGAATATTAATAAGACTGTAACTGATCCAAACTTGACATGTTTGAGTTGTTAGCTAGGGAGTTAAGCATGTTTGAGTTCAGATGGAGAGGGCTGGACTCAGGCTCCTTCTGGTGCAACATAAACGGCTGACACTGCATATTAGCCCTTTGCTACTGCAGACGCACCCAGGGTTGTATGCAGGTCCATGCTGGCTGTAGGGAGAATATTGAGCTACCCCTTTAAATACATATTTTTTAAAATCTTTTGAAAGCCATTACTGTATTATTAGTAAATTAATTGCAACACATTCTATAGTTGTGTCTTTCTCAATGTCATGGTTGAGAACTGCTATATTTGAGGAACCAATTCAGTAGCTTTTCTTAGGTGGTGGGAATTCATTAGTATACTACGTTCAAAGAGAATTCTTGTAGATCACTATAGCTGTCAAAATAAGGTTTGATGTTCATTCCCTAAGAAAGGGCAAATAGTCCTTCAGATCTTTTTTCCGTTTCTCCAAGCTCCATGGATGTTCTCTAATGTGCTATATATTAAAGGTTGTCAAACAACTGGGCACAGGCCAAATCTGGCCCACTGCCTGATTTTGTAAAACATTTTATTTATTTACATAGTGTCTATGGCTGCCTTTGCACGACAGTGATGGAGTTGAGTAGCTGTAATGGCTTACAAAGCCGAAGGTATTTACTATTTAGCCCTTTACAGAAAACATGCTAATAGATCACTAAGGTTAAGCAATGTGGGTGATGTTAAAGAACTTGGGATTAAGTGTTGCCTGTAGGATCCTTCCCAGGAAAAGTTTGGAATTTGCTAAAGCCAGGCCAAAGCCCTCTTTTGATTTGAGAAATACATATCTTACAAAATCACTTGAATTCTGCCAGCTTGGTTTCTGAATTCTTTACCCAAGGTATTTAGCAACAGACTTACAATGTTGGTAGCCATAAATATTTTTAATTCTGACATGTGAAAAAATTCTAGACAAAAACAGAAAAAGCAATGAGAAAGATCAGTTTTTTTGTGTTGTTGTTGTTGTTGTTTTTGTTTTTTAACTAAGTACTGGGTTAGAAGATGAGAAAGATCAGTTTTTTTGTGTTGTTGTTGTTGTTTTTGTTTTTTAAGTAAGTGCTGGGTTAGAAAAGAACGATGTAGATTAGAATGAGCGCCCTAGCCGATTTGGCTCAATGGGTAGATTGTTGGCCCTTGGACTGAAGGGTCTGGGGTTTGATTCCCATCAAGGATTGTACCTCAGTTGGAGCCTTGATCCCTGGCCCTGGTTGGGGATTGTGCTGGAGGCAACCAGTCAATGTGTCTCCCTCACATTGATGCTTCTCTCTCTGTCTCTCCCCCTCCCTTCCACTTTCTCTAAAAATCAATGGAAAAATATCCTCAGGTGAGGATTAACAACAACAAAAACATTAGAAGGAGATTTGCTTAGTTTTTTTTTTTCTTCAGTGGTGATTTAAAAAATACTTGTAGTGTGAAAAAATTATAGAAAATTTAGGTAGAGAAAAGGTGAAAATAGTCCCACCAGTATGACACAAATTACTGTTAAATGTTGTATTTTCATCAACTACATTTATATCATTGTGGCCACAGTGTTTGTGTAGTTTTTTGTTCTGCTTTTTTTTTCACTTAAATCATATAGAAAGCCTTTTCCCAATTTAGCCTAACCCTCATTTTCACTTGATGTGGAATATTCCATGGCAGGTCTGCAATCATTCAGCAGTCACTCTAAGACTGGGCAGATCACTGTGGGACACCCGAGCTGCTTTCCTGCAGGCAGGAGAGCCAACAGTTTTGTTTGCACTTGGCACAGAGTTCCCTCTCAAATACAGCTGCAAGACTGTGGGGTTTTTTGTTGGTGATTGTTACTTGTTTCAGTTTTCCTGGTTAAGAGAGAATTTAAAACTTTGAGTATAAAATGTAAAGTGTTCCATATTCTATAGAAATATTAAAGTAGAAGTCTCTTCTTAGTTTATTTCCATGCCACTTTTTTGGTACCCAAGACAGAAGATTCATCTTTTTTATATTTAGTGCTAATTCTTAATAAGATGTCAATTATTTAACTTAGTTGAATAATGTCTGGTGAGAAGTCATAAAGGAAAAGTATCCACAGTTTGCCTAGTAGAAATGCATTCAACAAAATGGAGTAGAATTTAGAATGATGATTATTTTTTTTGGAACTGCAAGAGATCTAAAAATCTACACCAGCCTCCTCAACCCTTTTGAGCAGTGAAGTTAATGAGCCTTAGAAGGTTAATGGCTAGTCCAAGTGACTCAGTTCGAGTGGTGGTGCCAGGTCCAGAACCAAAGTTTCTTGACTTCTGCCTTTTCTGTTATACTGTGCTGCTTAAAAGAAGTTTATTGATTGCCTTCATTTTTCTGCTTTATATTTTAGTTTTAGCTTTAAATGCACATATAGATAAGTTGGTTCAAGGGTTGGCACCAGAGCTAGATTTTATGCTCCAATGGTTAACATTTATAGAAGAAATGCTTAGAATTTAAGAATTCATTTATTTTTCCGAGATGCTGTTCTAAGTGTTTTAAAAAGCCTTGCTCCTGCTAAAGACACAAGTGCATACTTATCTCAAAAGAGAAGGGGACCACCCTTGAGAGCTTACACCCTTGAGAATTTAACTCTGGTTAGGTCTAGCTTGGGAGTTAGTCTGGTCCAGACAGCCTAGACCCACTGAGCATGGAATTTGCCTTTTAGGGATAATTATAAGGATAGACAGCAGCAGACCTAAGAACCCTGAACTGGAAGAATTTAAGACAAGGGATAACTTACCCTGAGGAGAGCCCATCATTGGCTGCTTGGAAGACCTCTGGTCCTGGGGTCTGGACTTTGCTGAGATAGTAAGTTCCAAGAAAGTTTGAAGCCATGGAATGGGGAGAGGGGCCTGTTGTTCAGAGGAAATTTGAAATCTGGAAAAAGTTGTAGTATATCAAATACTCGCTCTTTTATCTCTCTCTAAATTCATTTGGTTATTTCAAATACTAAAATATTGTTACTTATAACTTAGTTTGTTTATACAATTCTGCTTATTTGGAGACTTGAGAGCCTGGTGGGGTTGGGAAGTGGAGGTAGGAAAGAGAATATGTTTATCAGGATTTTCCCAGCAATGTCTAAGAACGTGGGGTCCTGCCTCAAAGGGGAACTAGGGGGAGGAGAGGAATAGAGAAGTACTTTTTAAAAAATATATATTTTATTGATTTTTTTTACAGAGAGGAAGGGAGAAGGAGAGGGATAAAGAGATAGAAACATCGATTCAGCTGCTTCCTGCACACTCCCTACTGGGGATGTGCCTGCAACCAAGGTACATGCCCTTGACCAGAATCGAAACTGGGACCCTTCAGTCCTAAGGCCGAGCCAAACCGGTCAGGGTGGAGAAGTACTTTAAGAAATTTTAACTCATTCACTTATACTGAAGAGTGTTTTAACTTATACTCATACCTAGGAACTAACTTATATTACCAGATCTAGGTCTTAGAGAAATTATATTTTTGGAGCGTATAAATTGATATCAATATACTTTATAAGTAGGCTATACAATACAATGTTCTAGTTCATTAGTGAGTATATTGATGAGTATTGTGTTTTAGTAGGCTGTGATATGAGTGTCTGTGACTTTCTAATTTAAGCTGATGGGAATGTCATTGCTCTTCATTCCACTTTCTAGTCCAATAAGCCTTTTAAATACATGTTTTATAATTTTAGGTTTCTCTCAAAAGGGAGGATGAAGATAGCAAAAGCTAAAAAATAACCAGCTTTCCCCTTATACTGGACTCGCCCAAATGTGGTTTGACTAGCATTCAGTCTTCTGTACTTCTGAGTAATCTTATCTTCCAGATACCAGCATTTGAGATTGCTGTGTAACCTCTGACTTAGTGTGGTTTTGCTGTTTGGGGAAAAACAACAGGAGACAGTTTACAGTACTTCATATTTTTTGTTTTCCCACATTTTAAGATGTTAATGTACAATCACAAATGATATATCGTCCGGTCAGTGTGGCTCAGTGGTTAAGCGTTGACCTATGAACCAGGAGGTCATGGTTCGATTCCCGGTTAGGGCACATGCCTGGGTGCAGACTTGATCCCCAGTAGGGGTCATGCAGGAGATAGCCGATGGATGTCTGTCTTTCATCAGTGTTTCTATTTCTGTATCCCTCTCCCTTCCTCTCTCTCTAAAATAAATAAAAACATATTAAAAAAAATATATATCCATGGAAAAGAAAGGGTCATTTTTTTAAAATACTGATTTTTAGTAATCAGTAGATTCAGTATAATTTGGTGTGAATAACTGAAAAAGAGCAAAGTGAAGAGATTCCAGGAAGCCCCTGTGTTGTTAGCTTAAGAAGCATTTCAAAGCAACAAGGAAAATTTAGGGCTAATGCTCTTTACCAGAAGAACAAAGAGACATCAGTTCTTCCTGCAACTATCCATCTTTCCTTTCCCTTGTAGGGAGCTGTCTGGGTACTGGCCTGGACCGAGGTTAGGAGTGGGTGGGGTTGGCTTTTAGCTCCCAGGGCAGGGAAGGGAATGAACTTGTTAGTTCCAAGTTACAACAGGAAGTGGGGAAGAAGATTCAGATCATGGAGCCCAAGATTGTAGACACAAAGCAGGACTAGAATCCAAAGCCAAGACCTGACTATGGAGAAGAAACAAGACACAGCAGTCAGTGCAGGAGTAAAGCCTATGAGCATTCCTGGGACAGGTACCTTGGGGAGGGGCATGGCCTTTTATGAACCATTCCAGCCCTCCCCCAAGGCCCTGAAGAGTACTAAGTGTGGGAATCACAGTAGTTTAAATGGGAAGGTTACAAAGGATTCTCTTGAAAGGTAGAAACCTATTTTAAAAGAAGGTAATTGGAAAGATCAGTTATTAAAGGGGACGTAGCAAAACACATTATTTAGTATGAACCCATTACAAAATATGGGAGGATACAGTTCTCATGTACACAGAAAATTATTTGAAACTAGAGGCCTGGTGCATGAATTCATGCACCAGTGGGGTCCCTCGGCCTGGCCTGTGGGATCGGGCCGAAACCGGCTCTCCAACATCCCCCAAGGGGTCCTGGGTTGCAAGAGGGCGCAGGCCAGGCCAAGGGACCCCACCAGTGCATGATTGGGGCCGGGGAGGGACCGCAGGAGGGCTCCAGGATGTGTCCTGCCCATTTTGCTCAGTCCCTATCTGCCGAACCCCAGCAGCAAGCTAACCTATCAGTTGGAGCGTCTGACCCCTGGTGGTCAGTGCTCGTCATAGCGACTGGTCAACCGGTCGACTCTCTGCCCCTTGGTGGTCATTGCACGTCATAGCGAACAGTTGAGCAGCCTTAGCATATCATTAGCATATTACGCTTTGATTGGTTGAATGGCTGACTGGTTGACCAGACACTTAGCATATTAGGCTTTAATTATATAGGATAGTATGTACCAAACAGTCAATTGTAGATGATTATAGGGGACTAGAGGCCTGGTGCATGAATTCGTGAACGGGTGGGGTCCAGCTGGCCCGCCCCGATCGGGCTGGTGGTGGGGAGGGATCGTGGGCAGTTGGCCAGTGGCCCCACCCCCGATCAGGGTGGGGGGTGATCAGGAGCAGGGCCAGCTGGGGGAGGGGCCGCAGGCGGTTGGCTGGCTGGCCCCGCCCCCCTGGTTGAACTTTCAGTTGAACTCCCAGTCAAACTCCCTGTCGAGGGGGCAATTTGCATATTAACCGTTTATTATATAGGATATTTACTTTCTACATTGTTTCTATGTAGTATGAATTTTTCCACAGGTTTATTCCTATAATAGAATGTGTCCTAATGAAGGCAGGGGGACCTTCTTTTCTCCTAATCTACCACAGTACACAGTTCTTTGCTCAGAGTAGATACTCAATAAATACTTGTTGAATGAATATTACCTTTATGCAGGGAAAATATTAGAATGGGGATAGGAGATGGGTCTCACTAATTTCATTGCAGAGCAGTGTAGTTCTCAGAGTTGAGTGGCAGTGTAGCTCAAAGGCTTTCAAAGTTAGAAAACCTACATATCACATTAGAATAGGCCAAGGACCAGACAGACACCAGTATCAAACTTTGTTGTTCTTGAGTAGATTGTTATGAATTTTATTTCTAAAATATAGGAGACCCTTACACTCTAAGCTCCTTTCCTTGGCATTTCCCAGAAAGTTTTGAAATTCAGTACTCTGTCAGTACTTTTTCAAAGGCTGTGCAGAAGTTCAAGAATTTCTCGAAGTTACAAGGGAAGAAAACTGCAAGGGGGCTGCTGGCAAAAACGCCATTCGCTTCAGCAGTGGTTGTTTGTACTCCAGGGCCAAGGAATCTAGCTCGGCACAAGCCTCATCTCAGCCAGGAACAGCCAGGGAGGAAACCTCAGTTTGCCATGTCTTATTCATCTTTCCTATGGGTCTTCCCTCCCTCCACCCTGAGCCCTGGCCATTCTCTTCATCTTTATGGTATTGTAGTAGCAACTGGAGAGAGCTCAGATCCCATGTTTCTGTTTCAACCTTTCCTCCAAAGAAATCTCCCAGGTTAGAAAATAGGTTGACTGCTTTTACATAGATCATCTCCAGTGCTACAGTGTATTTGTTTGTTCTCTTTTGCATTTGAATGCATTTAACTGTGTGTCAGGAACAGTTTGCCAAAGAAAATCTCACCTGGGAGAAGTGATTTGGGTGTTGAGCTTTCACCCTGGCTGCTCTCCCTATATGTGCGGTCACGTGCAGCTCTGCCAAACTACTACTGCAAAATGGCTTGCTTGACACCCTCCCCCGTGAGTGCTGGCTACCAAAGCAGGCTGTCCATTTTACAGGTGCATGGAGTAGTTTATTTGTAACAGTATCGGTTTCAGCTGAGAGGTAAACTTTAGAATGAAGGTTATGAACACTGGACACGTGAAGGTTCTAACTAGATTAAATTTATTGGATATAACTGCTACTAAATTATTTGGAAATAATTAAGTGGAAAAAATAAGTAGTAGAGCCAAGTTTGGTGTGTTTGTTTTCTCTCTGTGGGAACATGTATTTGATTTGTTTGTCTAGCATTGTCTCTGAGCAGATTATGTTCTCAGACCTGATTTATTTTCATTTTCTGCCATGCTTATAATATTTAAGGTACCTATAAGTTTTACTTGGTTAGCTCTGTTTATATTAACTCACAATATAGTTTGAGTTTATTTTAACCATTGCAGTGATTTAAAACTATACTATGCTTGGTATAAACGTGGCAATAGAAGCATGATCATTTTATACTTAAACAGGCTGTTTTATGGCTTGAAACCCATGTAGCACTTTAGAACCTAGACATTAATGAATTTAAGCCAGCAATTCACTTAATGAGTCCATACCCAGGTGGTCAAGGAAGATACTTACCTATGTTGTATGGATATATAAAGTTTGAAATAACACAAATTATCTGGGAGGCAGAGTCTGCATTAGAAAAATTTTTATGTTTAGTACTGAGACTTCATTCTAATCAAACGGATTGCAGTTTCCTCCCTAGAATTCAGAAGGAACTACTATAAAACTTTGAGTCAGTACCCCTGCTGGCACATAATGAATTGAGATTTCTAGCTAAGGGGATTAGAGGTGGATTCCCTGAAGAGGAGGTACTTCTAGCAAAAGGAACTATGTTCTTTAAATGTTACTCACGCTATCATTTAGAAACTGGTTGTTTGAATACTTTAACAGTCAGCATGAGTATACTTCAGTCTGTGCACCTCTTTGGGGGATTTTGAGATCTTTTTTCTAGCCAGCTGAGACTCTGGCTAGAACACAAAACAAATTTTGTGTTTGTTTATTGTTTTGTTTTGTTTTTATGGGAAAAATGCAACTCTTCTCTCTCATAAGGTGCATTTCACCTTTCTTTTTGTATTTTTAAAACATTTTTATTGATTTCAGAGAGGAGGAGAGCGGGAGAGATAGAACATCAATGATGAGAGAGAATCAATTGATCAGCTGCCTCCTTCACGCCTCCTACTGGGGATAGAGCCTGCAACCCGGGCATGTGCCCTTGACGGGAATCGAACCTGGGACCTTTCAGTCCACAGGCCAATGCTCTATCCACTGAGCCAAACCAGCTAGGGGCCACTTCACCTTTCTTGATAGAATGCTGTAATAGATTTGAAACAGAAATACAGAATAATGAACTCAAAAGGACCACTGCCCTGACCTTTCCCTTGGCTCTAGAGCCAGTGCTGCACAGGCATGAGGGGGAGGCCAGGGTTCAATCATCTGTATTTAGTACTGCACCAGGCACCAGAGAGTTTGGAGTACATACTCTTCCAAACAGGACAGCTAATTGTGGCTTGAGTGAGAGGGCGGGGGGAGGGGGGGTGTTGTAGGCCCAATGTTGCTAAATCTGGTATTTTGAAGAGATGCTGAAAATAGATATCTTTATGTGAAATCTACCAGTTAAAAAAAATTTTTTTTTAACATCATGCAGGGAAGGGTCAAACAAAACATATTTATAGACCAGATTAGCTCACCAGTTTGCAACCTCTGCACCTGACCCTTCCTGTTATTCTTATGTTTTGCTCCCTCCTACCCCCTGATACCACTAATATACCAATCAAACTTGACTCTTATAGGAAGGACTTTTGTTAGGGATTATGTGGTAAATCCCATTAACTAATTTGCCATGTACTATTGTACCTTTTTGCCTCCTCTCCTGTAGTTCCTTGCGCTCCTGGAAAATACGCACTTTTGACAGCACTCGGCCCCCAGTCAAAGACTACCCTCTTTATTGTTTAATCCTCACACCTGACTAGGAGGCTTTCAGACCACTTAGAAGAGAGGGGACAGCCTTGTGATAAGAAGGTGGTTTAGGTTTCTGGTATTCCTCAAACAAAACAGAACTGCTTAGGCCTCCTATATCTAGGACTGGTGACTTCTTCCACTCCAAGATGTTTTTCTGCCATGATTTTAGAGCAAAAAATACACCAGAATTTGGGACATGGACACTAGTTATTCACAGATTTCACAGGCCAGCTAGTTTAGAATTGGACCTTTTAGTACCATCCCTTGTAATGTCAGGCCTGATGTCAAAGCAATGCCTGCTCTCTCCTCTTTCCTTAGGGAGCCAGAGTAGGACAATAAACTAGCTCTAGAATCCAGATTTAGAAAAACTATTGTTTTGATAGGAACTGACGAATGGAATGTAGATTAAGGAACCGAACCATTATCTACTTCAGCAAGTTAAGACCCCCTTTTTTTTGGAATGACCTAAAAAGTTTGTAAAGTAAAAGAGTTGGATTTTCCCTAAGACTTTCAGAATATTCTAAAACTGGTCTATAACATGGGAAAATCTAAGAGCAACAGTGAAAACTATGGGAAGTCCATTAACAGCCTCTATTAAAATAACTTTTTCCCCAATTATAAAATAATTAAAATGTTGAAAATAAGTTATATATGTTGATTATATCCAACTTTTAAGATAAGAGATAGCCACTATCATATATATATATTGATTTCAGAGAGGACGGGAGAGAGCTAGAAACATCAAGATGAGAGAGAATCATTGATCAGCTGCCTCCTGTGCACACCCCCTACTGGGGATTAAGCTTGCAACCAGGGCATGTGCCCTTTACCGGAATTGAACCCGAGACCCTTCAGTCTGCAGGCCAACATTCTATCCACTGAGCCAAACCAGCTAGGGTGCCACTATCTTAATATATAGCCTCCAAGTCTTTTTTCTTTTTTTGTCCTTTTTACTGACTGTATCATGAACATGCTCCCTTGTCATTGAATATTCTTCCTCAATGGTTTTTTAATGGTTGCATGTCAGACAAACACATGAATATACAATTTAGCCAATCTCTGTTGAATATTTAAGTGTTTCTTAATTATAAGTAATGCTGCAACAAACACGCTTTTACATAAATCTTTCTATCACCAGTCTTCTGAAGAAATATCTGGGAGGAGTATGAACGTTTTAAGGACTTTTACAAACTACCAAATCTGACCACATCCTTTAAAGACCTTATTAAAAATACTAGTTTGTGGCACTTATACCTTTATTCTTGAAGGATTTCGAGAAGTCAGTTGTTCATTTCCCAGAATGACCAGTTGTGTGAAAGTCTAGGATTCCTTTTCTGCATTTCTTTGCATTCCTTAATGAAAAGGAATGTGTTTGCCTTTTGTATTTGATGGATCGGGGAGCAGAGGCAGAGGTATTTTGTAATACGCTTTCACCTAGTAATTAGGTCATCAGGCTGTTGCTTATTTTTGGATGCTTGTGCGTGGCAAGCGATTGTGAGACCGGAGGCAGCTATATTTTGCTGTTTCCAAAGCTGTGGTTCACAGGATCTCCCTGAGCAGCTTCAGTCAGTAATGAGGTATTTTCACCATTTTATGAGAATGACCCGTGCTGCCTGTCCTGTCAGTGTGAGTGACCTGTAAAGGGGAGAGGGGAAGGAGTTATGAAGAGGATAAAGGCTATTTGGGGGTGGGGGACAGATCTTTGATTTTATGAGCTCAGCTTTCTGCATAGACAGCTGTGTGGTCCCTAAGCAAGTCTTGTCTTGTATGATTAATGTATACCAGGGGATCTCCTAATGCAGTGGTCGGCAGACTGCAGCTCTCGAGCCATTGGCCCCTTGAGTGTGGCCTCGAAGTTTCAATCGCACTGTACGTGCGCACCTGCACGTGGTATTTTGTGGAAGAGCCACACTCAACGGGCCAAAGTTTGCCGACCACTGTCCTAATGGAATTAGATACTTACCAAGATGGAGCAGTTGCTCTTCATTCATTTTTCTCCTGACTTCTTGATAAGCAAGAACCTACTTGCCCTGTCTCCTTCAGCCATTATTTAAACTAAATATCTGACGGCCTGCTGTAGATAGGGTTCTAGAGCCTCCTCTGTCGTAACGCTGACCTGTTCTCTCTAAGGACAGAGTGAGGGTGAGAGACATGGTCTGGAAGGATTGGAAGAAACTTTAGAAATATAGTTCCAGCTTCTAATTTTATAGCACAATTGGTTTCTGGCTTCAGAAAACTTACAGTCTTTTTAGAAATAAGATACATGGGAAACGACTAAAAACCAGAACAAATTTTAAAAAGTACAAGCAATGAATGGTTTAGTGCAGCGGTTCTCAACCTGTAGGTCACGACCCCTTTGGCGGTTGAACGACCCTTTCACAGGGGTCACCTAAGACCATCCTGCATATCAGATATTTACATTACAATTCATAATGGTAGCAACATTACAGTTATGAAGTAGCAACGAAAATAATTTTATGGTTGGTTCACAACATGAGGAACTGTATTTAAAGGGCCAGAAGGTTGAGAACCACTGGTTTAGTGCCAAATGAGAAGCGTCAACAGTAAAGGCTTTCAGATTTCAGAAAGAGAGGGAACTTTGGTCCCTGGAGATCAGCACCTCATGCTGGAGAGTTTGTTCAGTTGTTTGTTTTAGTTTTTTAACTGGGCCTTAGAGAATGAGTAAAATTTGAAAGTTAGAGTCCGTTCCTCCCAGGTTAAGTGGTATAATAAAAGGCAGAAGATGTCTGGAAACAAGGAGTGGGTGATTTTGACTTGTACGACAGGTTTTTTTCAATCACTTGGCTGTATAATTTAGAGAGGACCTGAAGCCCTTTTCTTAGAAAGCAAGCAGAATTGTGAGGGCCGTGTTGTCCTGGAGAGCCTGTAGCATCTCTGTCACTAGCACGTAAGAGTTCAGAGATAGCCAGCAGAGCCACGGCTCCCTGTCTTCCTGATGGGCTCCTGGGGCCACGCCCGCAGATATACACTTAGGTAGTTTTACGGAATGTGACTCAGAGTGTTTAGGGAACCTAGTCATCTCTAGGTAAAGTCCTGGCTGAGAAAAGGTCTCCCTCTTTTTTGTAAGACTTGCTTCCTGGGGAAATTTACTGCCCCAAAGCCTTCACGTTCCTCTGTGCTTCTCAGTCAGGCCTCAAAGCTTCAGGCTTTATTTATTTATTTATTTTAAATATATTGATTTTTTACAGAGAGGAAGGGATAGAGAGTTAGACACATCGATGGGAGAGAAACATCGATCAGCTGCCTCCTGCACACCTCCCACTGGGGATGTGCCCGCAACCAAGGTACATGCCCTTGACTGGAATTGAACCTGGGACCTTTCAGTCCGCAGGCTGACGCTCTATCCACTGAGCCAAACCGGTTAGGGCGCTTCACGCTTTATTAAAACCTCGAAGTTATTGGAGCCTTTTAGACTTTCAATGAAATCATCTTACTGTGGGCTGTAATTCAAGTAATTCACAAAAGATAAGGATTACAGACATTTAGACATAAATATCTTCCAACCTTTCCCTATACTTAAAAACAATACCCCTTTCAACTAAAAGCTGACACTTAAATACTGTACTTTGTTTTACTACCAGGTATACTTCAAGATACTCAAAGATTTTTTTCCTATTTAGCCTGCCTGAAGGGCTAATATTTGAGCTTCATTCTTCCGGAGGTTATTAAAATGTAAATCTTTTCCTATTAAAATTAAATAATTATCCACCATTTACATTGTAACTTACTTTAGGTGGGAAGGATGAGGGAGAAGGTGAGATAGAGTTAAGGTTTGGAGTGGGTAAGAGGGATCCTCAACTTGTCAGTTTTGCTTTGAAGTCAGCCCAGCCATCAAAGTGCAGATCTGAGGAAGTTCTGCTCTGGATGGCCCCAGCTCTCACTTGTGAGTTGGAGTTCAGATGTAGCTTCACAAGGTTAGAAGTTGAGTGCTATTTTCTAAAATGATCAGTAAAGGTGCCTGGGCCTAATAGGTAACATTTTCAGTTGGCTAGAACCCTGGCTTGTCTAACTGGCACAAATAGATTTATTTATTGGACATAGACTCCGGCTTCGCCATGGGCCCTGTCTGTCTTCCAAGTGGTGACACCATTAGACAGCCTTTGTGGGGGTGAGAAGTAGTGCCACAGGAGCTGGGCAAGCTGCAAGTGCATTTATTGCCTGCCTAAGCCTTACCAAAGTTTGCCTGAGATGTCTGGCCCTCCTCTTTTTTTTTTTTTTTTTTGGATGAGGTTGCAGTTCTGGAGGAAATTTGCCTTTTACCCCTTAATCTTCTATTGTGTAGGGAAGAGAGTAGGCTTTAGCTCTCAAAAATGGGGTATGAGCTCACAGATGAACTTTTTTCCTTCTTTTTTCAATCTCTATTTACTGAAATGCATTTTAGGGTTATAAACTATTACTTCTGTTTCATGTTCTTCCTGATCACTTCCTTTAAATTTATATTATAGCTATTGACATTTTAATAAAATCTCATCAACACATTTGAAGATTTTGCATTACCTTCTTAACACCTTCTCGGTGTATCACATCAATAAATTATATATCTGTACTAGAGGCCCAGTGCACAAAATTTGTGCACTCAGGGAGGGTTCCTCAGCCCAGCCTGTGCCCTTTCGCAGTCCGGGAGCCCTTGGGGGATGTCTGCCTGCCATGGAGGCGGGAGAGGCTCCTGCCACCACCGCTGTGTTCACCAGCTGTGAGCCCGACTCAGGGCTTCTGGCTGAGCAGCGCTCCCCCTGTGGGAGTGCACTGACCACCAGGGGGCAACTCCTGCATTGAGCATCTGCCCCCTGGTGGTCAGTGTATGTCATAGTGACCAGTCATTCTGCTGTTGGGTTGATTTGCATATTAGCCTTTTATTATATAGGATTTTTACCTATGAAGTATTGACCTTCAGCATCAAGGGATTAAGTATATCATTAAGACAGGTAGTAGTTATCTGTCTAATAAATGCCCCTGGCACTTGACTGGCTTGATTCAGTTCAATGTACTGATCACATAATTCATTTAAAACTCATGCAGACACTTTTTAATGACCATATACAAAAACTGAACTATATCTTAGAAAATAAGATTGCATAGTACATTCACACAATAGAATACTATGCAACAATGAAATTATTTATAAAAAATTTCTAATGGCTTAAGTCTAGAAACTGTATGTGTGTTACTCTCTCACCAATATTAAAAATATTTACATGTGTGAAGAAAGATAAAGGAAAAAAAGACAGAAAATAAGTAAACCAAATGTGAATAGTGAGTGGTTCTGTCTGGATGAGAAGATTATGAGTTATTACATTTTTATTCCTTATACTTTTCTATTGTATACAGTTTTTAAAAAATATAGACTGGGTATCACTTCTATAATGAAAAAGAAATCCAATAAGGGATTGTAAATCATTTTAACCACCTACTTCAGTAAAGAATTAAAATATAGTGAATGTTTAAGGGTAAGTTAATGCTTTCTATAGCAAGACAATGAAAAACTTCCCCTCAGAAATTTTAAAAATTACTTTGAATTTACTATTTAGCACTTTTAAGTTATCTTACGTGTCATTATGCAGTGTTCCTATAGCTCAGTGTTTCTTTTTTTTAAGTATATTTTTATTGATTTTAGAGAGGAAGGGAGAGGGAGAGGGAGAGAGAGATAGAAACATTAGTAATGAGAGAGAATCATTTATTGGCTTCCTCCTGCATGCCCCCTACCGGGATCAAGCCTGCAACCAGGGCATGTGCCCTGACCGGGAATCAAACCGTGACCTCCTGGTTCACAGGTTGACGCTCAATCACTGAGCCATGTTGGCTGGGCAGATCAGTGTTTCTTAAACTGGGTAATGCTGGTGCTAACTCATAGGTTTGCTGCAACTGTTTGGAAAACTAATTCAGAGTTTTACAAAATTGATGGTAGCAGTTATGAAAATCCTGAAACATTTTAGTTCTGTGTCTTGTGAAATTATTTTATTTTTTAAAATAAACCTTTTATTGAATTACTAGAGGCCCAATGCACGAAAATTCATGCAAGAGTAGGCCTTCCTTCCCCTGGCTGCCAGCACCAGCTTCCCTCTGGCACTGGCTTCCCTCCGGCACCCGGGACCTGGGCTTTCCTCGGGCTCCCGGCAGGCATCCGGGACCGGGCAGCTTCACTTCGGCCCCGGCTTCGTCCGGAAGGATGTCCGGTCTAATTAGCATACTACCCTTTTATTATTATAGACTAGAGGCCCAGTGCAC